AACAGGAGCTGTGAACACGGAACAGCACTCCTGAGAGCAATGGGGATGGCCAGACCCCAAAATCATAGAGGGCGGGTGGCAGCACTTAGCCGTCGCAAGCAAAGCGGGCACAATGACTGCAATAGGCAGCAAAGGCAGAGTGGTGGCCTTGAGGACAGACCAATGGAGAGATGGAGGCGGCTGACAGAATATTGTGCTCCCAGGGCTGAGAGAGTCGGGCCACAAACCAAAGCATTGCTTAATATGTGCAATGAAAAGAAGTGAGGAACGAACGGTCAGGGGCCTGTAGGCAGCAGCCCCGGTGAAAATTCAAGATTCCTGGCTGTTATCAGAAATGGAAACCAATGACCGAAGTATAGGCCAAGTCCTTAAAGGAACAGTTTCGCAAAGCTGCGGCACTCATGCTCAGCAGCAATTCTCCCAGTCACTCAGTAGTGATTGCCCCAGCTCTTCCTTTGGGCCGCTTATTCAGATAACCATGCAATGAGGAAAAAAGAATATATATAGGCATTTCAGACACTGTCGGATAACATAAGATCTTGACCTAGGGAGTTGGCATTGATGCCCAGGAGCCCCCAAAGCAACCACGGCCTACCTGTTAGATTAGAATATATAAGAAGAATGATAATTGGAGCCCTGAACCTAGTCCAGTTTGCCGCAGGCCCCCCAGGCTCCTGGAACGCCCAGCATCATTTTCCCAGTTCTCGAACATGTAATTGGAATTGTCATACTTGATAGTTGGCATAACAATTTCTTCGGGGTTTTGCCACCCAAACTTCGCTTCCCAGCTTGAATCATTGTTGGTCCAGGAAGAACGGCTTGGGATCAAGCCCCTTGGCTCTTCTCTGTCTTACCTGTTAAGCCCAACTAGATTTAGTCTTGAAACCACATCTGCTCTGACTCTGGCGCATCCAGATAGACATATCCATTCTCAGGGGAGACTGCATACTCTTAAGTCCAATGGTCTAAACTTCCTATTCAAAAATAACCCAGACGGGGCTTGTACATCTTCCATTTTTCGTTTAAAGAGATATTAGAATGTGAGAAATGATATTGCACCCTAAAATCAAGGCTGAAACACAGAGTAAATAACTCTTGGGCTCCACCGACACAAATGCAAAGCAGGTAAACATATCCCATATGACACACCAATAAAAACCAAGGGTACGTTGTTAGCTGGAGATGGAACGGGTGGCAGATTTGCTTTTTTTAGTACTATCAATAAACAAGAAGACTAGTTACGATTCTTTGAGCTACTACTATGTACCAGGAACGTTCCCATCTGCCTTCTCATCTAGTCCTAATGACCTGTGAGCTGAATGGCATGCCCATTTTATAAAGAAGGAAGCTGAAGGTCAGAGAGCTGAGAAAAATGACCCGAAGCCGTAAGCTTGTGAGAGGCAGCTGGAATCCCAGCGTGGTCTGCTGACCGCGGAACCAGTGCCGTTTCTGCCACACCCAGCTGCATCCTGACTACGGAGATTTGCGGTCCAAGCACCTCAGAGAAGTCACTTGGCTTCCAGCAACCGGGCTTAAGAAAATATGCCTTTTCTTTCATGTTTTTGAAGACAGAATCCATCATAAAGGGCATTCCTTTAAGACCTTCTGCTTTGAAGTGCTAAAAGCTAGATTGAAGGAAGGCTCCCAGGCTCCTGATCTGGGTTCACCCCTGCCCTCAGAGCCAGGAAATGCGATTTCTTCTGCCATCTCTTTCACTTACGGTACTTGCTCTGCTTCTTGGGTCTCCAGTGATTTTTTTTTCCTTAAGAAAAGAAGATAGCTTGGGTTAATTTCCAGTTCTCCACAATTTATCTGTACTGAGCTGGAAGAGTGTTGAGTGGGAAAGGGCTTCCTTGTCCACGAGGGCCTCGCAGCTCTTCAACACCCACCACTTCTGCGTCATGTCAAAGGCAAGCAAACCGGTTTATTAAATAGCTGTCAAACCGAATGAGCGTGCGCCAAGAACACACAGAGGGAAGATTGGATTAGGGGGACAGGACATGCCGCGCTAAACAGCGGCACAGATTTACGGCCTTGGCCATGCAGCCTCAGAAGTGACGCCCAAGGTAGATATGTGTTGGGGGTGGCTGGGCCAAGGAAGCAAAGTGTGATATTTACAGGCAAGGACTGAGGCATAAGGTGTTTCCAGTGACTCTGCTTTTCCTTCCTGGCACTCAGAGCACTTGTAATTAGCATATAAGTAATGCCATGTGTTTATTTGGTAAATGACTCTCTTCCTCACCAAAGAATAAGCTTACCCAGGGTAGGGGCTTCTTGAGCCTATTCACTTCTATTTTCCAGTGAGGGCACAGGGCTGGTGTCATAATGAGATGTGCTTGGAACGTTCATTCCACTGAAGACAGCAACTCCTAGACTGTCACCAACTTAGAAAACATGGATGATGCTTTACTCACTGAAGGGAATTCACAGACATGGGTTCTAATGGACACTTTAATAGATCACCCCTTCACAGCCCCCACAGATGAGAGGCAATTTGAACCAAAGAGGAAAACAAAGTGACAGATATCTGCTAGTCAGTGTCACTTTAAGCCCAGTGGAAACAGAGATGTGTGAATAATGAATGATTACTGAGAACATTTTGGAAGATGACCACACTAGATTCTTACCCTGGAGGGACCTAGACTGGCTGAGAAGAGGTAACCATTGTATTTTCCATTCCAACATCTTTCTTTTACTTGTCATCACCTGGGATTTTATCTCAGTGTCCACCTCTCCTATATGGCTCACATGTGTTGTGAGGGAAATGGCCCCACTCTTGGCTCTAGGAGTGGGGCCACCTCTGCCTCAGGCCTAGTCAATATAATATCATCCACTCACCATAGCAATGGGTGAAATTATGGTTACATGGTCTAATTTGGGCCAGTGAGAAGGGAGAAGATATGGGCTAAGGGTTTCCTTACTCTTCTGAGAGAGCTTCCAGAACTGTCATTCTTTTTCTCTCTGAATGCAGGAGAGGAAACATGCTCCTTGCCTCTTTCTCTCTACCTGACTCAGTTCCAAACCATCCTCATATATGTACTGATTGGTGGAAATTAAATGCACCCAGAGCCTTAGAAGCAGGGAGTCTGGGAAACGCAGTCTTTGACATTCCAGCCTCTTCAGGATTGGAAGGCACTAGAAGGGGCTGGAATGAGCATGGAATGAGCCAATTTCCAGCATCTGCTGAATCACCTTTGTTCCTTTAAGAGTAATAACTATCGGTCATGATTTTGAAATCTACAAGAGCTTCAAATAGTGAGAAAAGGAGTTAGGAATGTAACTCTGCGGAATTGGGACTCTCTTTGAGTAGGAAAATGACATTCATGTTTCATGTTTATTTCCTTGGTATTAATTTTAGAAAAGCAATAGTCTTATACAAATGACAAACCGGATGACTAGATGACTACTGAAATCATCTAAGTGAAGAGTGGTATCCTGGATGGGGCCAGTTGAGAGGGAAACCAACTCTCAGATTGAGCCATATCACTAGGGAAGAATCGGTGGGACCTTGTGGCTAGAATTTCTGTAGTTGCTTAAATCAGAAGTACCCATGTGCTGATTTAAGCAGAATGGGGACTTTATTACTAAGGCACAGTGGTGTTTGTCAGAACCCTGGCCAGTGGAATATTACTGCCAGGGCTCTCTGTCTCTCCTCTTTCCTTTCTTCCCTCACCTTCTTCGTTCTTTTGTATCTACCGATTGTCTTCCTCTGCCCCCCGCCATGTGCCTGGGGTGGGAGAAGGTGGGGTGTAGGGAGTGGAGAGGTGGGGGTGGAAGCTCTTGAGTTTGTATAGCCTTCTCTTTCTCCCATGGAAGAGACACTGCTTGGTCCAGCTTGGTCAGGCTAACCCCTGAGCCCACCAATCAGGCCCCAGGATGAGGTAAGGAGGCAGTTCACAGGCACCAGGCTCATCTCTATGGATCTGACAATGGTGATGTGAGGTTCATTAGCCTCATGAGCACCTGTCATTTCCAAACGTGGCGCAACTGGATGTGGATTGCCCAGGCATGAGTTAGCAAGGGACACGAAAGCATCCATGATGATGCAGAGGCTTCTGGTCTGAGTGGGAGAATGTAGCACCACTTCTCTGGATGTGGGGGTAAGGTGCCTGGACTGCAGTGGGAACCTTTGGAACTAGAGCAGTATGGGCTGGGGCGGAAGCAATTGAAGACTGAGGTCACTTAACATGGCATCGATGGCTTTACCCATGTTGGAAGTGACCTGAAGCTCCTTTCAACCCCAGTAAAATAGAGAATGGCAACAAGGCTAGTTTGGGAACAATCAGACATCTGTGAGACTAGGAAAACCTAAGGCTCAGGGGACCTCTTAAAGACCCCCTAGAGGACATTCACCTCTTTTGGTCCTAGAACATAGGCCTGAGCCCCCAGACCTGACTCAAATGTGGGTAAGGCAGGGAAGAATGGGGTCAGTAGCTGCTTGCCTGGCTACCTGTTGGCTTTGTGCTCTGCATAAAGAGATTCTAAGTGTGGACTGGGCATGAGGAGCGAGGCTGCCATCATTTTATAAAAGTTGTGTGATTATAAGCAAAGTGGGGAGCTGGGCCCAGGGGAGCAAGAGTGGGTGGCATATGCTGTTCCTCCCAACACCCATAGCAGACATGGCTAATTGGCCAAGGAGCTATTTCCCATAGAGCCCTGAGAGCATCCTTCTCATCATGGGGCTCTGAGTGGCCTCTGACAGTCTGTCAGTACATGGGACAACCTGCATCTGCTCAACCCAACCTAAGCAATGGTGGGCAGGGGAGACAGGGGAGTCTGGGCCAACATGGCCGAGCCATGTATTTTGTGGAAAACTAAGAGGGTTGTGGCAACCATAAGTGTGATTCCAACACAAAGTATTAGCTTCAGTGTGAAGGCGGCTTATTGTTCTAACCAGTGTTGGTTTAGTGCTGGAGATTTTGCTAATTGCACAAAATTTCATTTCATCTATGGAGCTAGCTACTACTTACTACTGCAGCGTCTCCTACTCATGTTTACAGATGAGGAAACCGAGGTCTGAAGAAGAGAAATGTCCTGACCCAGCTCACCCAGCTGGGGCCAGTTCTGTTTCACCTAGAATTGGATGTTCCAACTCCTGGTGAGTGTTCTTTCCACTGCCCCAAACATAGTTTGATTTGAGACTAGATTCTCCTGCTATTTCCCAGTAAAGAGAATTTCCCCAAACATCTGTGCCATGTGCTAGCTCCTTAGGGTCCTCACTCTCAAAGTGTGGCCTTCCGATCAGTAGCATCAGTATCCCTTGGGCACTTGGCACAAAGGCAGTGCCCAGTCCAATACCAGAGCTCCCGAATGTGCGTCTGCATTTAAACAAGACCCCCAAAGATCCATGTGCACAGTAAAGTTTGAGAAGCTTGACAAGACACCAGACCTTCTAAGTGTTCCAACTTGGCAGAAAGGGTCCTGCAGGCAACAAGTTTGGGAAACACTGACTCCTATGCTGTTCTTTTACACATCAGCATAGGAGAGGCTTGGAAGGGTCCTAAAGTACATTTTTTAAACTTTGCTCAACCCGGTGTTTTCCAAATCTGCTTGTACAGAGACTCTGGATTCTGTATGAATAACATTTAATCATGTCACGTGGATTTGCTGTTTAACAAGAAAGTCTGACCTGCTACCATAGACTAGCCAGATGAAATCCTGCGTGTGCGCACTAAAAATAATTGAGAGAAATGCACCACAGATTGATCTAGCAGTCATTTATTTATCAATCCCTTAGGTGATAGCAGTACTACCATTTTAAGGGCACCAATATTATTCAATGAAAAAAAAAAGCACTCAAAGAGGGAAAAGAAAACAATCTGTGAGGGGGAAAAAAGGTGGTAATTTGGTTTGGGCAGGAGCGTTTGACCAAGAGGAGAGTGGATGAAAGAAAAGTCGTTTCTTAAAGCTATTGCAATTTCTCATAGCCTTCCACTTTGATGAACGCAAAGCATCATAAAATGGGGTCCGAGGCTATCGCTATCTTCTACTGACTATATTATTGATCTCATTTTATTTCTATAGCAAGCATTTAAGGTAGATATTAGTATCCTCATCTTACGGATGACGACACTGGGGCTCAGGAAGATTTGCTCACGTGTTAAGAATTTTACAGCTGGCCGGGCGTGGTGGCTCATGCCTGTAATCTCAGCACTTTGGGAGGCCGAGGTAGGTGGATCACCTGAGGTCAGGAGTTCAAGACCAGCCTGGCCAACATGGTGAACCCTGTCTTTAAAAAAAAAAAAAAAGAATTGTACAGCGAATGAGCCAGAACTCAACCCGACACTTGGTGACTCAGGAGTCCAGGCCCTGTAGCCATTACACGATTTTGTGTGGAAAACAGTGGAAGCCTGGGTTCCTGAAAGACTGTGTCTGATCTCAGCCTGGAGTCCTAGGAGAGGATGAGGGAGGCCAGGCCCTCTCTGTGAGCTGTTCTTGCGGACCACCAGTCCCCTTGTGATTGACATGCTCCTGGGTACCAGCTCCAGCATCTGTCTCTGCTCCTGCGTGGGCTGCTCTTGGGTCTGGGACATCACACGTCTGACTCAGCAATCAGCTTACTGTGCCACAGCCTCCCCTTTGCTTCCAGCTCCCCGCAGATTAATGGAGAGGAGCTGCCGAAGCCAGGCAGTCAGCCACTCCCCACCTGAACGTGAAATAGATTACTGAGCAAAGAAATAAACAGCGAACTGGGGAGTGGGGAGGAGCCCAACAGCTACATTGCCTGTTTTTAAGCCACAACTGCTTTTGAAGTAACTGATTGCACGGAAGGCCAAACCCAGTTTGGCCTAGTTTGATGGTCCCTAACTCAATTACTTAATTTTCAAGGAAAACATTTGCTCCCATAAATAAAAACAGAATAAACCACAAGACTTAGATGCCTCTTTTTAGCAAACTTCAGTCCCAGGCCTGATCTGCAAAAGGAAAGCAGCTGGGGAGAAGTGCACTCGAAGAGGACACTAATAGAGGTAACAGTGAGAACAGAAATAGCCAGTATCAAGTTATCAGTGCTATTCTGAGTTGTGCATATTTGACCTCATTTAATATTCACATAAATTCTCTGAGATAAGCACCAGTATCATCCCATTTTCCAGATGATAAAACTGAGGCCCATAGACTTCATTGCTTGTGTTTAAGGCTACACTGCTGGCAGGTACTGGTTAAACATCCAGAAGACAGAGTCAGGACCCAGATTGCCCGAGTTCAAATCATGCCCAGCTGTGCTTTTCTCACTGGAAAAATTAGGTGTTACTAGACACCTCTCTGCCAAACCTCAGTCATTTCTTAACACCTCCACATTCTCTGGCCACATTTGAGGGCACACACAGCAGTGCTGCTCTCACCTTAAGGGAATGATAAATAATTGACTACTAGATCAATCTGTGGTGCATTTCTCTCACTTATTTTTAGTGTGCACATAAGCAGGATTTCATCTGGCTAGTCTATGGTCACAGGTCAGACGTTTTTGATTTTCTTAAAGCTTTTTGTGAGCTAATTCTGTTTTTGAAAGTTTAAATATTTCAAAAGAAACACATCAAAAAGTAGATTGAAAACTAGTATCTCTTGTTTCAAATAGATGATAATTACAAAAATGAACATTACAAGAAAAAAATACCATTACCTGCATCTGAGATACAAATCTGTTTTTTCCTCGTTATAAAGAGAGGTTAACAAGTGTTAGAAAGACACGGGGGACCTAGTGGCCCCAGTCTACAATTTTCTTCCTGGAAATAATCAGACGTATTGAAAGAGAACAGAACAGGAAATGCTTTGCTCAGGATCACAGGTCGGGAGAAACATTGCATGGCTCGTTTCTTAGCTCTTTCTCTTACGCGAGACTAAAACAGCACGGCAGGGGGCTGGCCCCCAAAAGCTTAAAGAGCCCTGTTTGAGGTATCTGTAGCTGTGACCAAGCCCCATCAGGTGAGCTATGTGCCGAGCTTACAGAGAGAACTCGCAATGAGTGTACCACTTTGCCCCACTCAAAAGGGATCTTCCAGCTCATCCAAGTAGTGCTATGGTAGCAGTTAGGAACGATCTATCCAGCCTGCCCTTCCTTTCAGGCATGTGATAGATTACACTGTGTCCTCCACCCTTTGACATAGCCCACGGCTGTCTGACTTGCTTTGGCCAATGAAATGGGAGGACGCACGCTGCTTCCTGGTGGAAGGATTTAAGAGCAGGTGCACAATTCTGCAGGCTCCGAGACAGTGAGTCCTGGGCTTCATGAAGAGACAGCAGCAGGAGAAGATGGAACCTGCATCAGCCTGGGTCCCTGAGTGACCACTGTATGAGGCAAAGCATTCCCCTGCCCCATCCCAGCTCCCTACTGACCCGCAGGATGTTTGTATTGTTTTAAGCCACTTTGATTTGGGGGTTTCTTGAGACTACAACATAAGCCACCCTATGCTGACTGCTTAGGGATGATGCTCTTACATTTATCATCAAGGCTACAGGTCCAGGCTCCTGTGGTCTGGCGGGCTGTTTCTCTGAGCTGCCGGTCCCCTCCTTTGTCACAGCACTGCCTCTTCACCACCAGTGAGGCTGCAAATCCACTGATGCCTCCAGTAGCCATCTGCAGCCACAATGCTGCCAACTGCACATCAGGCTCCTACTGACCCTGGGACCCTGATCCCCCCAGTCCCTTTACCTCTGGATACTGGTTCCTGACCATTCACCTTAGTCACCAGCATTTTTGTGAAATGAGACAGCTCCTCCCTATCTGCGTGCTACCCTCAGTTGGGAGTGCCCCATAAGCAGAGGTGCCAGGGTACCAAAGGATCCCAGGCTTCAGAGATGGAGCTCTTTGGATCCATACATGCAACCCCTTCCCCCAGCAGCAAACACAACATCAGGCTGGCTGGGCCTCAGCTTCCACACTGTGTCCCGAACCTCCATGTCCTCAGTCTCCATCAGGCCATCCCCATGCATCAGATACATTTATATATGCTGAACCTCAGTGATCTTTTCCCTGGAGTCTCCTCAGCTGCTGTGAGAAAATCAGCAGGCATGAGTAAACACTTGGAATGAACATCTGAGTGTCTGTCCTGGCCCATCCTGGACACCCTGTATATGCTGTCCCTGCCTACCATTTCCATATACATCATGCCTCATTTTTCCTCCTAGACCAGAGGCTCCCTGAAGAAAAGAAATCAGTCTTGATTATGTTTGTATCTGTCTGGTGACCTACTGCTAGATAAGGAGCCACCTCAAGCTTATGCCATAAACCAAAACCATCTGATTATGCTCCTGGGTTCTGGATGCTTCCATGAATTCAGACAGGGCACACTAGGGTATTAAGAACTGTAAAGGGTCTGAGATTTTTACCCTGTTTGCAAGGTAGCAAGCTAGCCCGCCACAGTTTCAGGAATGCAGGTAGAAAATGTGAGACTCCTGAGTCAGAGACAAAGGACTTTATTAATTCCTACAGCAACAGCGGTACCTGAGTATCAGTGTTTTGTTGTGTTATTTCCCTGAGGCCCAATTCCCACAGGGTGATGCAGAGGGCCAGGTGACACCTGTATACACAGTGAGTGGCATTATGGGAGAGGACCCCTGAGCGTAAGGACCTGAGTCTTTTATAACGAGAAGTAAGCATGCCTACCTTAAGCCACCAGGAGACTATCTTTATTATACAGGATGCTATCTCCACTTTCCAGCGCTATAAACAAACCTGACCTTTGCTTCACAACCTCTTCTTTTCCATGGTTTCTCACTGTAAAAGTGCCTTCTATGGGATAATCTGGAATAATTATATTATTATGTAATATAATTATCCAGCACCTTTATAATCTGGAATAAAGGCAGTCAGCACCTTTGCTTACAAGACATGCAGAATTGCCAGAGACCCATGGAGAAATGTCTCCCAATATGGCGATAGCTTTTTCCTACTCCAGAATGTCCAGGACCTCAGCTGGGAAGACTCACATGGCTGGGAGATTGAGTTATCTGGAAGCTTCTCATCCACATATCTGGTGCTGGGCCAACTTGAAGCTGTGCTCAGCTAGGACTGTCCACTGATTAGAGAGTATGGGAACACACTCTCTGTGGTTGGGATTCTCACACTGTGACTGCTGGATATAAGAGGGACATTCCAAG